TCGGACATGCAAACAATTGGCAAAAGGCCGTCAAGACCCATTGCCAACCTCATCCAATCTCATGACAGCAGAAGCAGTAGGAAACGTTCCCCTTTTGTCCAGGTTTGATGCTTTTCAGGTGTTTTCTCAGAGTGTTCCTCAATTTGTTGTGTCAGAATCCAAGCATTGCTAAATTGATCTACTTCAATAGAGTGACTTGCGACATCTCCGAGACATCTCCGAGACATCTCCGTGTTCCCAGGAGATGCTGGAATTCCATGTGCTTCCCAATGAGGTTTGCTTCAATGCCGTCATCAGCGCCTGCGAGAAGGGCCAGCTGCGCCACCTCCGCCCACGTCCGTCCGGAGGCACCAGAGGCGGTCGGCCAGTCGGCTCCTTGCTGTGCGGATCCACCTGGAGCGGTCGAAGATCGGTCGATTACTGTTTGGAGAGAAGATGAGGAGTGATGAGAACTGGGATGGATCCAAGGGGTAATGGATGGTGGAGTTGAATGGTCTAACTACTCATGTTTGATGAGTTTTTGCAGAGCAAACACCTTTTTCGGGGTCACCAGGTGCTCGACTCTTGTCACCACTGAGACACTCAGTGTGACTCAGTGTGCTTTGTATAGACCTGGTCGACTCGCTTTCTTCCGTGTCACGAATAGCTGCTTCGCCGCTGGGAGAGCCTGGGGTGCGGGGCCGAGTCTGGAGCCTCCCGAATCGAAAAGATGCTCCGCTTTGGTAGTGATGTCTTTCTTCGCTTGACACTAGCAACAACCTGGTTTTGCTTTGAGATTCCACAGCCCTCAGCAAATTTGCATGGTGCAGGGACCTCACTTAGAAGAATCGTACAAAGCTGCTTGTGATGTTTGCATTCTAGTACGGAGTGAGTGGAGGAAGGAGGTACGGTATGGAATGCGTTTGCCAGGTCCTTCAGTGTTTCGCTGCTTCGTCCCTTGCGGCGTTTTAGATTTGCATCTTTTGCGCTCGCGCTTGTCTGCTTGCTTGGATGAAGCGGCCGAGCAGTGGCATGGCAGCAAGCAAAACTCTGTGTTGGTATCGCAGTGCTTGGCGTGCAAGCTTAGTGACATGGGAGGCACCTCCACCGATGCCTCCCCACGATTTGCCCTTAAGCATGAACATCCAGAAACCTGCCATCGTACAATATCGTGTCAAGGCAGCAACTGAAAATGCCGAGTGTTTTCATTTGTCATGAGAAATGGGTGGATTGACATTCTGGCTTGTAGCCTTGCAATAGGGACACGGTTCATTCTTCACTGACTATATTCGTCATGCAGAACCGACGACTCATGAGATTGATGAGTGAAAAGCGACGACTCAGTGACACGTCAACACCCAGGTTTTGCAAACCCCCCTTGGCCAAAGCATCGCCATGGAAGGGTCTCTTCTGCGTCGAGGCAGGGCGGCAGAATGCGGCTTTTGGGTCTTCCAAAGATTTGTTGAATGTGTAGTAGGTCTTTTTGGAATCATGTGCAAGAGACGCACCTCTGCATGATTTCTGCATGTCCAAATCACCAACCACTGCGCGCAGATGCCCAGGTCAAGGCTTTGACAGTGGAGAGTAGCGACAGCTTCTGGTCCAAGGGTGATGTGGACCTCTCCAGCTCTTCAAGCTCATTGGTTGAGAAGAACTTGGTTTTGACCTCCAAAGGCCAGCCTGCCATGGCCTGCCATGGCCTGCCATGTCGCTCCTTGTCCTCGTTTCTCGCTCCGTACCCAGAAGATGTGGAAACGAAACACACGACTGGGACGGTGACTGGGACACTTGTTCGTCGTGACCTTTGGGGGTCCGTGTGTTGTGACTTTGCGTGTCATGGAAGGATTGATCTCTCAGAAATCTCACTATATACACATCATGGCAGCATGGAATCATGCATGAAACCACTCAGTCGTAGTTGCAAATCTGTAAATTCTGAGCTTTGCAGTCGCAACGCTCCCAACCTGTGCCAGGTGAGCTGGCTCGAACACAGTGGCAGGAGCTGTTAAGTTCGGAGGAAGTGTGAATGGCAGTGGATTCTGCCGAAAGGGCGGCATGATAGCTGCCGAAAGGGCGGCATGATAGCTGCCGAAAACACATCGAACAGCTCTTAGCCTGTGTGTTCCTGGAAAGGTGCTTTTGTACAAAGTGACCATAAGTGAGACCTTCTTAAATCGAAGATCCTAAAGCGGCAAGAAGAAGTGACACTTGAAGTGTAAATGGTATGTTGATCGAGCCTCCCTGGTCTGAGTTCGAAGAGTTGCAAGAAAGGCAGTCCTAAAACCAGGTCCTTCACTGGTCTCTCTCAAAGATGATAGGAGCCGCTGGCCTCGAAACATGGCGTCCTCTTCTGGTTTTGCGATCTCTCGGGCCGCGGCGAACTGGGCCGCTCGTCTCCTGCGAACTGGGCCACGGAAGAGGTGGCGAACTGTGCAGTGCAGGAGCTCAAGGAGGAGATGCGAAAAGACCTGCGGTTCCCGGGCAAAGTGTCGTTTCTTGGAAAAAGGGACCTACAAGATAAGCGATGTTTGGATCCAGAAGAAAACAAAGCTTCACAGCTTCACGGCTTCACGTGGGATGATGAAGACGGCTCTTGGGCAGGTTGGGTTGACGTCTCTCTGAGCAGAAGAGACTCGGAGAGACTGTAATCTAGGGGTGCGCTTCAGATGTGTATGATCAGAGGTTCAGCTAAAGAAAGCAATTGGTCCACGCAGGGAATGATGTGTACCAGCAACACACCTCATCAATCTTCATCATTTGCATACTTCTATTTTACCACTGTCTTCAAAATGATATCCAGTAGCACCATAAGCAGTGGCTCATTCTTTGGACATTCGGCTGGCATTGGCAGGAAGCTCCTTGGGATCTGCAGACAATACCAGAAGATGTGCGCTTGAAGGTCGCCCATGACTTGCGCCAAGAAGGGGCGCCCGAGGGATATTCCTTCGATGGACACAGGTTGTGGACTCAGCATGTTCTGTGGATTGGAGATCAAAAGCATGGGCAGATGAAAGGCATTCTTCTTCCCCACAGGTAAGGCTGTCCAGACTAACTCGCTCTTGTTGCCTTACCTTCACACGCGGAGAGAGATGGATAGAGATCAATCCTTCATGCCACGATCGCCAACCTGGGTCCTTTTTTGGAACGGACTTGGCCCCAAAAGGCGCCTTGAGCACCTCAGCTCCAGGTATATCAATCAGGAAGACTACAGCTCCCAGCGGGATCATCCTTTCTTAGCAGCTTGGAGCAAGTTTCAGCTCGAACAGCTCTCAAGATCATCATAGATCATGGTGTTTCGAAGGTCAATGAAACTGTGATTCATCCTCCCCGTTCAAATGTCCTAAAGATACCGGTGGAAAAGGATGAGGTTCTGTAGCAGTGCTGCACATCATAGGCTCCGACAGTGAACAGCTGGATGGCCACCGAAGGCCACAGCGGAGCTCTGTGTCTTCTTATACTGTAGATTGCTTTGTTCAAACCTTTGGACTTTGGGCTTTGTCCTTTCGTCTCTGTTGTGTTCTCTTTGTGGGTCGCATTTGTTTCTTTCTTTAGACCCTTTAGACCTTTTAGACCTGTTGTTTTCCGCTTCTGAGCAGTCCGCTTCTGAGGCGCAACGACTGACGCAGTTGGCCTCAGAGCACAATGCCGCCCAGGCATCGCGCTGTCACCGAGCGCGCGAAGTGCTGGCCACTTGGGGACGAAACAGAAGGTTTGGACCTTCGTTTGGAGCTTCTGCTTTTGGAGCGTCTTCTTTTGGATACTCAAAGTTGACAATTGCTTTATTCAAGAACTGAGAGCTCATGAGAGCAAAGTTCAAGGGGCCTTCGGCTTTTGGCTTTGGGTTTATGAAACTCTACTAGAAGTTCTTTTTTCAGGGGAAACGGTCTTGTTTTCCATCAACTATAGGAGTGGGACATAGTGGGACCATCGATGATCCAAGCGGTCATCCCATCCTTCGCCGCTTCGCGCAGACGAACGTCGACGTCCAAGGCCTCTCCTCCCTTCACTCGACCGATGAGCCCCACCGGGCGGCCGAGCGCCGGACGGCCGCCGCGGCCGCCGAGCCGCTCAGGCTATCCACAGTGAGACCGGTCGGGAGAAGACAGCGAGCGAAGCTGCCATGTCTTTTTGTACAGCATGTTTCGAATTGACCGAATGAAACATCTTACGAGCAGCCAAACGGAACCTTTCAATCTTTCAAGTGCAAACCTGTGCATTCTGACGTAGTTTGACCTTCTGGAGCCAGTTGCTTTGTTGCCCGCTTTTTGATTTGTTTTGGCTAGGTGCATGGACTCCAATTCCGGCAATTACTACTCAGATCGGTTCATATAGCCTAGCACAATACTCGCGCCTTTCAGGCCAGGTTTGCCACAAGTTTGCATGCTGGCTGCGCCGGCTGAACAGTTCCGGCGAATTCGTTTTCTGAGATTCGTCTCAATGTGCAGAGGCCCAAAGAATGTGAGACATGGAAGTGGTTGGCCAAAGCAAGTTTGAGCAACAAAGGAATGAAGTTTCGAAGCCTGACGGTGCAGGTGTTGATACCCGTCCTTTCACTGATGACCTGACATCCGTCTTGACTGTGTTTCCGGCGGTTTCATGCTGAGGTGGTTCTATCTTGTCAAGCTGTGTCACACTTTCAGTGATGGAAATGGACCATGCAAGGATGCAAGGTTACTTTTATGGTCTAGCTGCTAGCTGCTAGCTCTTCCCAGCCTTCACGAATCAGAGAGATACCAACTGTCGAGAGTGTCAATGGGGCTTCCCATCGTGGGTGAGCTCAATGGTGTAGGCTGTATCGGCATCATCCTCCAACCTGACAGGATCCTTCCTGTGATGGTTCACCGCACGATACGGATGATATGTTGCCATGTTGCATCAGATGAGTCGATAGATGCGGGATCAGCCGGATCTACTCACACGCTTGCCGTTGGAGGCCATCGCTTTTAGGTTGGAGGCCACATTGGCTACCCACACGCTTGCCGCAGCAACCTTTGAAGTCGATTCAGTGTTGCTGTGTTCAGGTTGCCGTGTCGGCGGCGGCTGCGTTGAATGCCGCCAGCTGGCCCTTCCAGCCAGGTGTCATGTCTGTCACGCTGCGGTTTCGATATCACAACAGCCAGCCATGCTGCAGCCACAAAAAGAGTTGAAGGCTTTTCATAGCGCACTAGAACATCTAGAACATCCCTGTTGGAATCAATCACCCCAGTTGTTTTCACCAATCACTCCTGCCACTGTATTCCAAAGGGGATTCTAGAACGCACTTAAAGGGAATCTCTTGAGTCCAAACATCTGAGCTCTTCAATTCGACCGTCGATCGATCGAGGCGCGCCTTGCAGCGCTTCCTTCGATGAAGGCCGTCGCTTCGAAGCCCGCCGCGTGCACCGGGCCATCGCGGAGGAGGTCTCCTCACAACTCGGCGCCTCGGAAGAGGACGAAATTTTACGAAATCCCTGTTTGGGGAGCAAATGGGCCTGGGGAAGATTCTGTTTGTGAGATTTAGGGTCTGAATAGATGACTGGATTTTACAAGACCGAATATATAAATTCTTTTTATTCCCTTTCTCATCCTTTTCTCCCTTCTTTCTCTTCCAGATCGTTCCGCATCCTGCCCCCCGTCTCAGCTTGCTCGGACCTGCTGGGAGCGCTGCGGGCCTTCGGCGAGTGGCGCGCGGAGCGCCCCGCGGAGCAGCGCCGTGCCGCGGAGGCCTGGCATCTCCGGAGCTCAGCGCTGCAGGAGAGAGCGAAATCGGGGCCAAATTGTACTGGTTCGGTTCCCTACTAGCTCAGACAATAGCACAGAAAAAACAATGAAATGATGAAGAACAAACCAGACAATGTGTTCTTGGTAGCAAGGGGTGAGGTTTCATGATTGTAAGGGATTGTGAAGTTTCAGACGCTCAAGAGGAAGAGCGTGCGGCAAAATCGCAACTTCTTGAGATTGACTGCAGAATCTGAAGAACCGTTTTTAAGCACCACTGGGCCCTCGTTCTCACACTGGGCCCCACGTGCCCTTCTCCTTTGGAAAGACCAGTTGATGAGAATTCCCATATTATGTTTAGATTAGTTCTCCGAATGGCCCATAGCCTCAGGTTCGGTGGTTAGACCCCTCTAACACCCTAACCACCTTCGAAACGGAGGTAGGCCAGGAGCCCGTCTTTTTTTGGGGGGGGGGGAAGACAGGCTGAGCCGTTCAGGTCAACATCACTCGCCGAAGACTTCGGCTGCTGAAGTCGCCGTTGTTCGGTGCCGGTTTCGATGGCTCCAATCCTTTGAGGGAAGACCACAAAATGGTTGTATGATGGTTTGTGGCACTTCCAAGTCTCACATGGAGTCGGTGCCATCCACTTTGAAGCCGAACATTGAGTTTCGCTCCTCGACTCCAAGGACAGTTGTACAAACCCGATACAAGCCCGATATTTACAGTTTCGTCTTGGGTTCAGGATGTTCCACAAACCCTGCTCTTGGGTAGTATTAGATGTATTAGGTGAGTTACAGCCACCCCCACCCTCCCGAATTTCCCACTCCCAACCCACCTGCGCTAAAAAAAGGAACCTCCGGCCCACCGTCCTTCTGCAGCTTGCTTGAAAAATCACCTCCCTCCACTCATCTTCCTTCATCTTCATTGGGTCCACCGGACGTCACCCTCGACGGTCACACGAGTCGGTCGTCGATGGTCCGAACCCGACGACCGGAGGAGACACTGAGTATCTGCTAATGGTACAGGATGAAATGGGCAGAACAAAAAGGAGAAACCACGACATACCAGGATGATTGCAATGGTCCAGAGACCACTAGATCTGACGAATTCATATCAACTAGAATTCCTGTTATGTTGTTTGCAAAGCCTGCCAAGACGTGAATTGGACTCCCCCTGTCGGGCATCAAACCTGCTCAAACGGCATTTGCATGCCTGATAGAACTCTGCATGCGTACATAGTGGCCGAAAATGGAAAAGCGGAGATTCGGCACGTGCTTGTAGCGGATGCTGTTCATTGGTCGTTCTAGCTGGGCCCCTGGGGGGAATTGGTCCCGACAATGAGTGTCCAACGTCGCAACTGGACCAGTTCTTTGAAAGATGGAAACTGCTATGCTATGTGTTTGTTCCATGTTTTTGGGAGACATCCAGCATTGCATGGTCTTGGTTTGGGGGAGAGGATCTGCATCGACCAACGAACTCCTTGTGTGGTGGTTTTCCAGGAGATCGATGAGTCACGCCTTTTGGGCTGCAGATGACTCGATGGCAAAAGGGTCTTCTCTCTTTTGGAGGGGAGGCGGGAAAGGTAGTAGGGAAGCAGGCAGGGTAGGTAGCTTAGTAGCTTAAGGATTAAGTATAGCTTCAGTAGCAGGCGGCAAGGAAGCCACTGGGCTTGAGACTGAGCAGGGCTTGGATTCGGTTCCTAGATGTTTAGGGGAACTCAACTTTCAGACATGGTTTTAAAGATGTGTGTCTTTTCTTTTCTTTTCTCTTTTCATTTGGCGGTGACTCGTTCGTGGCAGTGTTTTGGCAGCTCTGTGCTTTGCTTCTTGTCCAAGGTTTACAGCTGTTAGAGATGCTGGAGCCTTTGGGACGAGACACGAGGCGAAAAAAAGAACGAGCATAGCAAGACACGAACGTTCTTGCTTCGCTTGCTTCGCTTGCTCCGTGAATGAACGAAAACACGGAATCAACAAGGATGGGAAAAGGGTTGTTTCTGCCGCATGATGCACGCTCCCTTTGCCCTCTTCAGGCACTGTGGCTTGGGCGGTTCGAACGGAGAATTAGCACCCTGCCTGGCTGGACTTCTTTGTGCTGTGTCTCGGCTTTTGAGATGGACAAAAGAGGCAAAAAGCAGGAAGTGTTGAGCAGATCACCTAGAAATGATTGTGGTGGGAAGTTACATAGGGGAGCTTTGTCGTGTATTGGGAACCAGTATGAGACATGGAGAAAGTAGATCCAAAGAAATGTTTGCGATTGTAGACGCAAAGGAAATGAAAAGGAAGAAAGGAACGGACAAAAAAGAATGGTTATAATGTCCAGAGAAGAAAGACAGAAAAAGTATGTAAAAAGAAACCAGTTTTCCTTTTGGCCCGCGCCTAATTTCTGAATTAAGTAGGCGCTTACTCGATTAGTCAAGGGAGAAGTAAGCTACTAGGCTAAGTTATCTTCTGGTAACTGGACGCAGGATAGCTCACGCTCGCACTAATGATGTGGGTAGATTGTGATGGAAAGAAACATATTGTGTGTTTTCTTGTTTTGCGATTTTTGTGCAAATCTATTTCATGACTGACACTGCTAAGGCATCCTTTCCACAGCTGGCGTTAGCCATTCCCAAGGACCAGTGGACGGGACGGGGAAGTGGACAGGACCTTTCTTTTTGCCTTTCTTTCTTCCTTCCTGTGCCGTTTTCTTTTTGACATCAGCATCTGTGCAGTGGCTGAGCATTTCAATAGCCGTGTGCGGCCGTGAGTGTCTAGGAGACGCTTTCCTCGCGGATGGGTACAGGGGCAGTGCTGTCGGAGCTCTTCGTACACGAGAAGGGTGAGCCCGTCCGGAGTAGTGTCATCCTTGTGGGCGGTTGCTATTGGGTTGGAGGCCATCGCTCTCAGGAGCAAGGGCGCTACTAGTGGCTCCTGGCATCACTGCTAGTAACAAGAAGCTACTAGGAGCAAAGGGCATCGCTACGAACGGAGCAAGGACGCTTGTAGGTTGGAGCCCATTGCTACTCTTAGGCTGACCACATCCTTCGCCGACCAAATGTGATCTCCATCTCGTGTGTTCAATTCCGACGGATCGTCTGAACCGCTTGAAGCCTCGTGTCATCTCCTTGGCCGCCTCACCCGGCCAAAACGGATCACCCCGCTCCTGTCGTCACAGCCAATGAGGTACCTTGGTGCCAGTGCAGGTGCACCCATCTTCCATATCAGCAAAGGAAAAGATCTTCGGAACCCCGTTCGTTCTCTATGAGGAGACTGTCTATCATCGATTTTCCAGTTTTGCTACAAGTCTTCAATGATGTTCAATGTATATATTCCCAACAGACCAAGTTTGGTATCAAAGAAAGGTATGAAGCAATCAGAGCGCAGCACATCTCAAGAAAAAGAAGGGAATAAAGAAAAAGAAATTTTAGGAAGAACATGGAAGACATATCTAAAGAACGAAATGCATGTCAGAAATTAACAAACCTATAATATAGAAAGCATATATGTTTCTTCAGTTTCGTTGTCTAGCTTGCGTGCATCGGAGCAGGTCATAGTAAAGAGAATAAAGGAACAGGATTGAAGACGGCAGACTCTCAGCTCTTTGCTCGATGTCGCACGTGTCGAGGAGTTGATTGAGACAACACGGCTCTATGTGCGCTGCATCACCTGCATACCACCCTTGACTTTGCTCCCTGGTGAAGTGCCTTCAGAAGTTGCTCTGAAACTTGAGGCGATTGAAGTGCAACATGTATGAGCCAATGTATGTCAATGTATGATCAACGAGAAACATGTGGATGTCCTTAGAGAGACCTCCAGTTTTCCATGAGAAGACCATATATATTAGGAGCGCCTTGGAAAATCACAGAGTCAGAGATGAAAGTGGATCCTTCGCACTCCCAAGGCTTTTGTTCGGCGGCCTGCTCTCAGAGTCCGAGCAGCTGAAGAGCAATCCCTTGGGGGAAGAGGCGGCATGAAGCGGACAGTGGCCATGAAAAGCGGATGATCGAACGCGGCTAGGACACAGTGGCCATTCCGTCGAACGTGCCAAAAAGAGGCACTTTTGAACCGAGTAGTCCGTATGGGGCTTCTGTTTTTCGGACTGCCCGAGGTCCCTTCCCGAATCGACGTGGCGAGGTCGACGGTCGTCCCTTTCGTCTTCAGTGAGACTTTCAGTTTAAAGACTCGAGTTCTCCAAGGGCGCTTTTAGGTGGAGGCCAGCGCAAATAGGTTGGAGTACGGTTGTAGGCCATCGCTACTAGGAACAAGAAGAGTGTCCTCAAAAAAGAACTACTCGTAACAAAGAGCATCGCTACTAGGAGCAAGAAGCTACTAGTAGCTCCAGGCCTTACGACTATACTTGTAGGAGCAAGGACGCTACTAGTGTCCTCGAAAAAGCATGAAAAACGCTTCACAAATAAAGAAAACACGTCCCGCGAAGGGGAACGGAACCCTATCGATCCGAAGGGCGTCCGTCGTTTTTTTTTGTCTACCCGAGAAGACGAGTTCGTACCGGGTTCGATTCTCGATTTCGTCGGACCTCGGACTCGACTCTGAGTCTCCTTGCTTGGCCAGGCCTTTTTGCAGCTGGGCTCATTCAAGTGGATTCTTCCGAAGGAGCTTTCGGACCAGATGCTCGGCATGGACTGCCCGCACTCATAAGGGCTACCTCCAAACAGAAGGGCCACCGACTCTTTGGTGCGAAGGGCCTCATCGACTTTGGGGTTCTGTTAACTTCACAAACTTCATCGAACTTCACACTTCGTCGAAGAGAAACACCTCTTTTTTTTAAGCTGCACAATAAGACCTCGACCTCGACCCTCGACTCGTGTGATCGATCCAAGCTCCGTTCTGGTCTGAGGATTCTGGAGATTCGACGTTTGCTCGAAGGCTTCCTCCAAGCTTGGATGCTTGGAGCATCCGAACTCTCCGAGGACTTGGAGAAGGCCCTCTTGGAGGTCTTGAGGCCTGGGAGATCCACCATGGATGGATCTTAGACCTTGGTCCTTTATTGAGATTGGGAGGATGACACTTGATGACTCAGATATGACGCATTCAGCTATGTGACAGACTGAGTCGGAATACAGATCATCTAGCCAAGAGTCGTTGTTCCTCGTAGCTCGAACATGTTCAGCCCGTAGCAAGTACTAGCGTTGTTTTCTGCGAAAGACTGATGGACCAGCGAAACTGTTGACCTCAGCCTATCGGGCCTGTCGGGTGGAGGCAACCAACAGAGATGATCAACTGAGATGAGACTCTTCATGTTCGAAATGCAAAAAGGTCTGCAGGAAAAAATGAAAAGAGCAGACAAAGGTGACAAAGGGATCAAGAAGATAAGAAGGAAATAGAATGATTCCATGTTCGGCTGCACTTGGCTGTGCGTACATGCCAGAGTGCACTTGCAGGGTCAGCTACTTTGCGTCAGAAGCTTGCAACTGCGACTAAGTCAAGGAAGTCGCAGACTACACCAGTGGCGCTTTTGAGAAAATGCAAATCATCAGGGCTCCGAGATGTTGACCCAGAACATCAAGTTCATCACGATCTCCTCGAGCACCACCCACACATCATTTTCTGCAGTGGACGTTTCAGCTTTGGGTGAACTAGTAGATCAATGTCCACAACTGTCGGTGATCATGAGTCATCGTCCTTCCCGAATCTTCGAATATCTCTTGTTGCTTATTGACACAAAGCGATTTGACTGCCGCATGATGACAAAGTGACCAACAGGCCCTTGCTGTACATAGACTCATGTTGCAGCGAAGTCCGGCCAAGATGGTCATGGACTTTGCCATAGAGCTTGCTTGAGCTTGAAAAAAGAGTATGCCAACTGTTGCTTCAGCGACATAGATTGTTTGAGTGAACAAAATGAGGCAGCGATGGTATGTGAAGGGCAGACGTTTATCCAGCCGTTTTTGATCCCCTGGCAGGTTCGTGACGCGTCATGAGTCGGGGCTGAACGCCAGCAAAGGCAGTAACAAGGCTGAGAAGGCCCACGGTGGAAGCCGCTTTTCACGTTCAGATGCATCTAAAAGGTCTTAGATGGTCTGAGGTGAATGTTAAACCTACCCCAACGTCATAGGGATTTGGTTGCAAAGCTTTCTTAGAGGATTCACGTTCTGCACGGCCTTTCCCCTTGGCACGTTCCAAAAAGCAATCACGGCCAGGAGAAGGCCGACAAAGAGGCAGCCGCACGAGAAGCGAATCCCAAAATCGAACAAACACGAAGAGACTTTTGGTCAAAAGTCCAAATCCTGTGGAGTAAAGCAAAGATGAAGGAGAATGTCCCTTGATGTTTGATGCCAGGGCAGTCTGAATGCTGTAGATGAACACTTCATAGAACTACAGGTCGTTCCATGCCCCTGAGGACTCCAAGAAAGACGACAACAGCTGAGAAGAGATAGGAGCTTCGAGCTTATCAGTATGTTTTGCGGAACCTCCAGACTCTAGCAGTCAAACATGACAGTTGGACTGGTTTGGGTCACGACCTCCACTGGAGGACGCAGAATCACAATGGCAAAAGACACCAAACCATTCTTGTTTGGATCAAGCCAGTATTGCCTCGAAGAGTAGAGTAGATCGTGCCTGAGCTCAGCAGAAGGTCCTTCAGTACGAGCATATTTGCAACATCAGAGGCTTCTAAAGTTGATGTTCAAGACCAAGGGATTCTCACAGTTTCTGCATGTTTCTGCTATTGCAGACACTAATTTGTCTTTTTGCGCTTGTTAACTTTTGTAGCTTGATCGTTCAAGCCTGCCCTGCTCTCTCCAGGATGACGTCATCAACGGGTGAAGAGGCCTCTCTGGAGGGGATGTCGGGCCGAAATTCGCTTTGGTGTCCAGAGCTACAAACAACAGACCACAAGGACATCATTCAAACAAAAAACGCGCAACTCACCTGAAGTTGTGGGCCACGCCATGCTTTGACACCCTATGTGGCTGTAGCTTTCACCTGAGCCATCTACAAAGAGTGGATGGTGGACTTTGCGCGGGGAAAGAAAGAAAGATAAGGAGGATGGCAGGATGGCAATGAATGGCCTGTTGCATAATAACGCTTGAGGAGCTTGTTTCCGTATAACAAGAGGGTGAATTGCCTGTTGATTGCATCGTCGTTCTTTGCTAGGCTCACTGCACGTGTACGGTCGCTTGCCATGACATTGACGTTGTCCTTGCTGGACCTTGTTTGTTGTTCATGCGGTTGGTGGGATCATTCAGCAGAGGATGTAGTACCTGGCCACAGGACATCCGCAATGGAAGTTTAGAGTGAGTGTAGAGGTTTCATTGCAATTGTGGAACTCTTCAAGAAGCACACCGCAAAATTCTTGTACGGGTCTAGGGTTCCGTGAGAAAATTATATATCTGCGACTGCAAAATACTGCAAATGTCTTGCGGCTCAATGCGGTACAGGTAGAGGTTGGTCACGTAGAGAGGGCGCAAGTGAGGAGGCCTTGGGAGGGAGTACAAAAGCAGTGTTTCTTAGCTTCTACTCGTACTAGCGATGGCCTCCAACCTAACAGCAATGGCCTCCAACCTAATTGTAATGGCCTCCAACCTAGAAGCGATGGCCTCCAACCTAATTGTAATGGCCTCCAACCTAACAGCGATGGCCTCCAACCTAA